CGGATGCGCAGGCTCAGCGGCCACGGCTCATGGGCCCTGCCGCTCCGCGGCACGTGGGATCTTCCCAGACCGGGGCACGAACCCGTGTCCCCTGCATTGGCAGGCAGACTCTCAACCACTGCGCCACCAGGAAGCCCCTGTATTTATGTTTAAGAGTAGTTTCCAACCAACCAGGCAAACGATTTTCATCTACACTTTGCTACCTTGGGTTGTGTGATCAGTTGCGCACAATGTGCGTAGAGGAGTAACTCAGGGTTAGAGGAAGGAGAGAGGAGGAGGTGGGGGAGGATGGGGGGTGCTGTGTGGTTGGTATGCTCATTCTTACCTGGGCATGCCCCAGTGACCCTCCTCAGGAACTCAGGAAGAGCAGCTGTTTACACCCGTCTCGCCCCAGGCTTTCCCCATGGCTTGGACTAAAGAGCTGCTGTATGTAGCCCTTTCAGCCTCCGTGAACTCCCTTCTGCCCTGAATCACAGACTGTCTCAAGGGCTGGTGCATCTCTACACACGAGCCCTAGTAAGCTGAGTCCCTGCAGCACCACTTTCAGCAATGAATTTCTTGCATGATTAAAGATGTTCTATTTTTGCACTATAATTCTCAGGAATTTAAAACGACAGAAGAATTGACCTCCCCCCACCACTCCCATTTTCTTCCTTCACTTTACTCCCTGGCTCACTTTTAATCAGTCTCTTAGTTAACAATCTGTGCAGTTTATGAAAGTGGTGGCTGTTATTGCCTCAGTATACATTTTACAAAAAGGACTTAACAACAGATTTGGATAACACCTTCTTCCCTTTCCTTTTATTTCCAAATGAGTGAGTTTAAAAAAAAAATCACTTATTTCTTCTAGCATGCTCCTAATGTTTCTTTTTTTTCTTTCTATTTTTTTTTTTTTTGGCAGTACGCAGGCCTCTCACTGTTGTGGCCTCTCCCGTCACGGAGCACAGGCTCCGGATGCGCAGGCTCAGCAGCCATGGCTCACGGGCCCAGCCGCTCTGCGGCATGTGGGATCTTCCCGGACCGGGGCACAAACCCGTGTCCCCTGCATCGGCAGGTGGACTCTCAATCACTGCGCCACCAGGGAAGCCCCTCCTAGTGTTTCTTGCATATCAATTCACTTGATCTATCTTGTGGAGGAGGGGCAGAAATTATTACCCACAATTAACCTAAGGAGAATTATCATATCAAGCAGGTAAATGACATCTTGGGGTTCCCAGAGTCAGAGAGATGCAGCCCACACTTCTGATTTGAACGTCAGTGTTCTTTGTGGGAAAATCTGATCCCCAGGTTGCACTGATCTTCAGGAATATTTGTCCAATTCTGTGTTGCATGCTTCCTCTGGGTGCCAAGTAACAAAGTCATGATGAAAAGCATATAGGCCTTTCTATGATGCCCCAAATATGAGGCCTAGGGATTACAGAGCCAAGTTTGAAACTTTCTAACTGAACTTGAGTAACCCTATCCCTCCTGGTCATAGATCTCCCCTGATGGAGGTGTTATAACTGCTATTAGGCAATTAGCCCTTTTATTCTGGAGAGAGTTGCGCTTTTGATGTCATGCTGTCCAGTGCTTTTTTTTAATTGGTAGATCCACATACTGTAAAGGTTTAATCTAACAGGGGAAGGACCAGGATTAGGATTTAAAGCTTGGCCTTCATGGAGTCCAGGGGCGATTAGCATCTTGAGTCAGTCATAATTATTTGCCTCAGAAGAGATACTGAGGGATCCAGCTGTACAGTGTAAGGTCCTCCACAGACACACCACTGCCTGTGAATGGAACCTGGCAGCAGTTGTGTGGCAGCTTAAGGTGAGGCATGAGGCAACATTTTCCATGGGTAGAAAGTAATTGCCCATCTGTCCCCAGCCATTTTTCAAGGTCAAATAGGTTCCTACCAAACATATGGTGCCAAGATTCTGTTTTGAGTCTTCTCTGAGAAAACAGATCTCCTGAGTGTCTATTCCACATTGAAAAACTCTCACCAGATAACTGCAAGGCAGGTTGGGAGAGCCAGATAGAAGTTACCCACCTGCCCTTCTTCCCAGTCTCCCTGCTGCTGGAGGAATCTCTCAGACACCACTCAACAGGCTCTAGACCTGGCAGCTAACTTATTAATCCTTCTGATACCCTTGGAGGTACGTTGGTGGTAAATGCCACCTCTAGTTTGTAGACAGAAAACTGAGGTACAGAGAGGTTAAGAGATGACAATAACACAGCTACCAAATGGCAGAAATAGAAAAAAAAAGTCCTGGTCCCTTGATGCCTGTGTCTGTTTCTTCCAAAATAAGCTTCCTCGTTTGTTGGGAAGACTGAGAGGGAAAGTGGCTTCTTTCCCGCTGGTGGCGTAGGTACAGACACTGAAGCAGGCTGCTGCTTCATTCAAGGAAATACACTCACACACTTAGGCCCCAGAAAGACAAGGAGATAAGCAGCCTTCACCTACACCTCTACAGCTGGTTCCAAAGAGCACCAGCAGTTTTCACTTGGAATGAGACACAGTTTTTTTCTTTTCTCTTTTGGATTAAGTCCTAGTTGATATAGACACTTTATTCTGGTAACGATCAAGCTATTTTCAGGCTCTGAGTTTACATCTTCTTAAAATGGGTTTTCAGTAGCAAAACTGTAGGAACAATAGTGCAGCCATTAGGGAGAGTGCAATGATGTCTGGTTCTCAGGCCTGGGATTTTGTTACTTCTGTCATCATACTGAAGAAAGTCTGTGTGGAATAGTGTTGATTGCCAGGGGAAGGAAGATTCAACTAGTAGCCAGAAAGTCACCTGTCTACAAGACAAATATACCTCTTCTATTCAACTGCCCATTGCCTGATACATTCCTTCACTGAAAGTTTTTCACTTTGGATTAACCTAGGTAAAATACATTTTAGGCTTTCTCTTTTAAAATGTAAAATTTCCCTGGATTAATTACAAAAAAACCCCCACACCTTAGAATGAATTTCATTTTTAGACCATTTTGCTTTAGAATGGAGCACCAAGGAATGGGAATACTGTCACAGGGGAGGAATAGTTTTGGAGGAGGCTTTGCTCTAGAAAAGCATATCTAAAATGAATATCTTAAAAGGAAGGTGGTAAACAGAGGGCAGCACAAGGGATTTGCATTCTTTGGGATGGTGCTGGTTGGGGGTAAGATAGAATGAAGGCAGTTTTTTCTGGGTACCCTGGTGGTCTCCTGTCCAGATCCCAATTGTGGTTTCTATCCCTCCTATCTTAGCCTTGGCACTGCAGCCCATGAAGCATAGCTTTGTTTTAGATGGACCAGCTTGGATATCAATTTCTCCCTCTGCTCTGGGAACTGATTGGCTCTAGGTAAAATTGCACCCTGTGTGAAATATATACTTATACTTGAGGATTTTCCCTGACTGGACTCTATGTTTGAAGAGAGTTGGTTGGGGGGATAAATGGTAGGAGACCTTCAAGATCCCTGTTGTTCCCTTGTTAAGCCTTTATGTCCCTTCCGGGGATGAAGTCTGGCCTGGGGCTAGACTTTGAGACCCTCACTGTTTGTGTTCCCAATTTGTAAGAGGCTCTCTCTAGTGCCGCTCTGATGGTCCTTTTTGCACATGTCTTTTGCCTGAGCAAGGCCTGAGGGTTAATCTCCTCAAGACGGGCCAGTAGGCAGGTATTGTCTGGCTCAGAGCTGGGCTTGCTCCCAGCCCCTGATGAAAGGAGGTGTAGATTTCAGGCTGAGCACTGATGTTGGAAGAGGACAGGAAAGAAAAGGACCTCCTTTGCTTCAGGGAAGAAAACTGCGACCAGGGTTCAAAGCCTTTTCAGTTTTGGGAGAGGCTATGGAGTTTGTTCTCCTTTTCTGAGAGCGCCCAGTGCAGAATTCCCACCAATACAAGGGGTGTAATTACATCAGAACCCAGGGGCTACAGTGACCCAAAAGAAAGGCCAGTGAGAACTCTGGACATCTCCTAGACTGATGATTTAAACCAAATACTCCAAAATGGTGAAATGAGGTTTGGAAGCCACAGGAACAAGTTGAGACCCTAAATAATATGACCAATTCCATAGGAAAGCTGGGCTCACTAGTATAAGCTGAACTTGCAGATTAGTGCCCCACAGGTTAAATTTGGCTTGCACACATTTTCTTTGGCCCACATGGCATATTTAAAATTTAGTTGGCAACATTAAAAATGTGGGAGGGGGCTTCCCTGGTGGCGCAGTGGTTGAGAGTCCGCCTGCTGATGCAGGGGACGCAGGTTCGTGCCCTGGTCCGGGAGGATCCCACACGCCGCGGAGCGGCTGGGCCCGTGAGCCATGGCCGCTGAGCCTGCGTGTCCGGAGCCTGTGCTCCGCAATGGGAGAGGCCGCGGCAGTGAGAGGCCCGCGTACCGCAAAAAAAAAAAAAAAAAAAAAAAAAAAAAAAATGTGGGAAACTTCACTTAAACGTTTGGATTTCTGGCTTCTCTTGAAAAATCAGATGGCCAGGTAACACTGTCTGGTAATCGCTGCCTGGAAGTGTGCAGCAGTTGCCCTCTGCTTCCCAAATTTCACAGCCCTAGCTCTCCCATGGCATTAGAACAGGCACGCTTCACCAGTTTCAACCACTGGCCCTTAAGTTTGGGATCCCTGATATATGTCACACGGTGTCTGCTAGGGAAGTGCTGGGGTGATAAAGTTCAGCGGAGTTTGTGAGCTTGAGACAAGACTGGTGAAAAGCTATGAGACAATCACAATTCTGATTGGAAGGATTTATGTGGGGACATGGGAATGAAAGCAGAATTCCCTGTGGCGTAGAGGGGCAGGGCAGTCATGAGACTGGGAACTTTGACGGGACAATGGGTTCATCTGGATAGCCTTTATATACGGGAAAGGCAGTTTCCTAGTTGTACGGCATGCACGGTTCTACCGCAGTGCCTGTCCAAGCAGGGTGGGTGTGAGGGGAGGGACAGAAGACTCAAAGCATGTTGGCAACTTTAGGTTTCATCTTGCCATAGGTTAGCTCGGGTGTTTTCTTTTCTTTCTTCCTTTGGCACTGCTTCATACCGTTAGATCGTCTGACCTGGCCCGGCTGCTGGCTTTGCTCAGCCTGCTCAGGGGTCTGGTGTCATCCCCAGGCAGCTCTGGACACAGTGAAGGCGCCTTCTCTGGCGGCAGCCCCTGCTTTGATACCTTCTCAGGCGTCAGCTCTTGTTTCTCAACCTCCTTCCCCACTTCGGGGGTCTCCATTTCCTCCCCCTCCAGCACGGCCAGGGTCTCCTGGCCTTCCGTGCTCACTCTCTCTGCCTCCTGCCTCTTCCCTCCCACCTCTGGTTCTGCTTCCGCCTCCGCAGGCTGCCCCTCCCCCTCCCCCTCCCCCTCCTGGGCTCCCACCTGAGCGTAGGAAGGCAGTGTCTCTTGGTAGGCCCTGGACAAGTCCCCTAGGGGCCCGGTGCCCATCTTCTCCTCGAACTGACTGAAAGGCTTGGCAGAAAGTGGGCTGGCCTCCACCATCCCAACCTCAGTAAAAGGGAAATAATGGGACACGATTTTCTCTTCTTCGAGGAGCTGGTAGCCCTTGGCCTTCTGGATGGAGGAGACAGCAATGGAGTGGAGGGACTTCTCAGGAATCTCCCCCAGTGGCTGCTCCACTGGATTCTTGAAGGCAGATCGGATTCTCTTCAGGCCCAGGTAACTCACCTCCAGAATATTGAGGAGGAGGGACACAGAGGCCATGGCCAGCATGAACAGGATGAAGATGGTTTTCTCGGTGGGCCGTGACACGAAGCAGTCCACCACGTTGGGGCAGGGCCACCTGCTGCAGCGATAGAGAGGCAGGATCCGGAAACCGTACAGCAAGTAGTGGCCCACGATGAAGCCCACTTCAAAGAGGGTCTTGAAGATGATGTGGCAGACGTAGGTCCTCAGCACGGTTCCCTCCAGCCGGAACTTGGTGCCTTTGCTGCTGCTGCTGCCCTTCTTGATGCTGCCCTGGTCCGCTCGGACGGGTGACCTCTCGCCGCCGCCGTTGCCAGGCGACTGCTGGCACAGCTCCTCGGCCGCGCGCTCCTTGCGCTTCTCCTCCATGCGGATGTGGTGCACCGCGTGCCCCACGTACACCAGCGACGGCGTGGAGACGAAGATGATCTGCAGGACCCAGAGGCGAATGTGGGAGATGGGGAAGGCCTCGTCGTAGCAGACATTCTCGCAGCCTGGCTGCTGGGTGTTGCACACGAAGTCAGACTGCTCATCCCCCCACACGAGCTCCGCGGCCGTGCCAAGGATGAGGATCCGGAAGATGAAAAGCACCGTGAGCCACACGCGGCCGATGACGGTGGAGTGCTCATTCACCTCCTCCAGGATGTTCCCCAGGAAACTCCAGTCGCCCATGTCTCACCACCTGGAGGAAGGAGAAGGCAAAGCTGAGCCGCTACCATGCAATCTCGAATCAGCCTCTCTTTGCTAACTCTCAGGGCACCTCTCCTTCCTGAGTGACTGGCACGGTCAACGGCGTAAACAGCATGTACTGAGTGCTTCCTCTGTGCAGACTAGTATTAGGGAACGAAAGACGCATAAAAGAATCTGCTTCCACTGGTTTCCTCATATGTAAAATGGGTTCACTTCACAAGCTGCCTGAAAGGATAAATGAGGCAGTATCTGTATAAGCCTTGAACTCCACCCCCAAATAAGGATTCATTGTTGTTCATAAATAGAAACCCATGGTTACATGGATTTAAATCAGAACCATAAGCTGAACTGAGGTTCATGAGTCATAATGCTGAAGAAATATTCTAATCCATTTGTGTTTGGGCCCCCAACAAAATTTTGCTATGTATGAAATTGCCCGTAGTCACCTTACTTTTGACTGTGTTAGGGTATATAATGATTGGATGTTGGAAGTGGAAGGAAACATTTTTTTGAATATCTACTTTATGACAAACCTTTGACATTACATTTTTTCATTCAGTTTGATCCTGCTAGACCATAATCTTCATGAGGGTATGGACCACACCTGTTTTATTTACTGCTATATACTCAATGCCTGTCACAGAGCCCAGCGCATAATGAGAGCTTGATAAGTGTTTAACTAATTTGATTCCACCACATGAGAAAACTGAGGCTCAGAGAGGTTAAATAATTTTTCTAAGATCAGACAGCTAAATAGTAGTGGTTCTGTCTGTCTGATCCCAAAGGCTGGGTTCTTTCTGTTGCCCCACTGAGATACATTGCCTGTGACTGGGGCTATACAATTTTGTGACTCCTGTACTCTCTCTCTTTTTTTTTTTTTAAAGGACAATGTATTAGTTTTTTTCTGCTATGGTAAGATTACCATAAACCTAGTGGCTTAAAACAATACAAAATGATTTTCTTACAGTTCTGTGGGTTATGTGAGCAACATGTACCTTACTGAGCTAAAATCAAGGTCTCAACAGGACTGTGTTCCTTGTTGGGGGTTCCAGAGGAGATTCAGTTTCTTTGTCTTTTTCAGCTTCTTGTGGCTGCCCACATTCCTTGGCTTGTGGCCCTCTTTCTCCATAGTCAAAGTCAGCAATGTTGCAACTCTCCCACCTTTCTTCCTTTGTGACTCCTGTACTCTTAATTTACGTTTTCTCTTCTCTAGGTTGATATCTGGAAACCTTTCTTAACAGCTTTACAAATTGAGAGCAGTATATATATATATATATATATATATATATATATATATATATATAGAGAGAGAGAGAGAGAGAGAGAGAGAGAGAGAGAGAGAGAGAGAGATATAGAGATAAACAGGTGAGTAAAATGAGGAATGTATATATGTATATATATTATTATTATTATTATTATTACTCTTTTAAACCCAAAGAATGGGAAGAGTGCTTTTGGAAGAAATCATGTTACAGGGTGAGGAAAGTCCTCTAAGACAGTTTTAGTGTCCCACAGAATGAACAGGGTTTAGGGTCTATAACTGTGGCTATTTTAATAGAGCTAAAATTTGGTCTGTAGGAAAAAAAAATACCATTAAACATGCTAGTATATAATGCCCCTAGCAACAGCAATGACTAATGAACATGGAATTGAACTGACAGGGGTGATGTGTGCAAACTGGGTCATTTGTCCAGTGCAAACCTGTGGGGCAAGCTGGTAATCTCCGAAAGACTCTGATCAAAACCTCCACCTCAGCTGATGTTCCCCATGTTGAACTTCTCTAGCGCTGTGACGTTTACTCATCACTGCCCTCAGACCAGGGCATGAGCCCATGCTAGAGATGCTGGTCCAGGCTTCTCCAGCTGTGCCCCACCTTATAGGATCAGAAGTCCATGGGGCCAGAGGAATACACCCACCACATTTAATGACAGGGATATTTGCTAAACACTTGAATGAGTGATGAAAAGTGGTATCTTAAATTAGGTGGGATTTTCTCCTTTAGGAGAGGATAAGCTTCCTTCCAACCTGCGGTTTGGAGCCTGGCCAGACAGAACTTGTGGCGGATACTGATTGCAGGTGTGAACAATGCCCAAGCTATGCTCTCAGCTGTTTCTTGGTGAAGAGCAGAGAGTGTTGCTCCTCTTGGACCAGAAACTTCTAGTTAGGCAAGGCATCCAACAGCAGCTTCTCTCCTCCTGGGAAGGTGAGAGCAGCTGTGGCATCCCTAGTCATGACTCTGACGTTGGGAAGAATTCCATTTAGGAATGGGGAATTGAGAGTGGGAGAGGGTCCTCTACTCAAAACCAGCCATTCAGAATCCCAGTCACATGTATGTAGTTATATTTCTACCTTTAACACTCCTCAAACTGCAGCTAAATCTAGTATTTGCCCTATTAAAGAGTGGCAGCCATTCCCATTGCCTTCTGGGAAAAGGTGGAAAACACTACAATCAGGTAAACAGCCCAAGCATAAATCCTATTGGTAGAAGAACCAGGAAAATCCAAGGTTTTTTAACCAAAAAGTTCAATCTAAAATTCATGTCAAAACAATAATTTGTGTAATTTACTCCTATGAGATCAAGTCTGGCTTTAACGAACTCTAAATCTAGTGGTGTTGATGCCTTATCCTCATTGATATATCAACTCATTTTACAGTCTTACTTGTACCATATTAGTCCCTTTGGGATTTTGTGTGTATTTCACTCATGTACCCACATGAATGTGTGTGGCAAGCACAAGCTCTCAGGACTGTATGTCTACCAGTCTTGTTTCCCCTTTTTAGGATCAAAAGCTCTTGGTGGACAGGGACCATTTTGTCTTTATCCTCCGTGAACCATCATGACACAGAACAAAGACCTTACAGACTGGGAGCTCCATAGATACCAGTGGATAGGACTAATGGTAATCATTTGAAACCTGAAATTCTCAATTCCTGAGTGCATGTAATACCAGTATTATGTACAGCCTAGGGAACTCCAGTCCTCTTCGCTGAGGCTAGCAGTGGGAGACTGACAACTTGCAAAGAAATGGTAAATTCCAAAAAAGAATAGTAAATTCATCCAAAACTAGCTATTTTGAGGTATTGTTTTGTATAAAATTAAAGCTATAAACTGGGGCCAATAATTCTTGACACATGAGTGTCATGACACATGTTCATGACACATGAAGACCCTCCTGACCAACCCATTCATAATTTCCAAACTAAAGCCAGACAGAGCTGTGTCCTTCCATACCCACCCTGCAATGCTAGGATTGTTTGAGTGGTTTTCTTTCTTACTTTTTCTTTTTTGATGTCTAGTTACAAAATTTCTTATAATATAATGGAAGAAGAGAAACTATAACTTAGGACAAAATCTTTCCAATGTCATGCTATTGAAACGGGCCAACTATGGCGTTAAGGAGAGAAGCTTTAGAGGTGCTAAAGAAAAGTGGCTTGGGTTCTCCACTTCTAAAAATGAAAATTATAATTAAAGGAAGTCAGATCAGAGTAAATCTGGGCAAACTGTTCCACTAGAGCAGGGCAAAATCTAAACCAAAGGATTTCTCTTCATCAAAGAGGCAATTCTCTGTTTTATTTTCTTGTGAAAATCTATTGCAGGTGGAAAATAAGCTGCCAGAGTTCAAGCCTCCACCCCCAGGGTATCCACCAGAACACCCCACTAGAAGATTATGGTTTTAAGTAATGACTGAAATAACACCTTATGTTTGGGTAGCCCTTATCTATTTATAAATGATACATTTTAGCAAATCTTGTTTCGGTCCTCATAACAACCTGTGAACTATGCCAGTGGCCCTCAGACTTGGATTTCAGAGACTAGTACAATAACAACAACAAAATATGGTAACCAACATAGGGCTACTGACTCCTTATTTTGCCAAACAAGGACCTAAAACTTATTTAATTGCTAACTATGACTGCAGTCTATTTTTACCATCATTTCATAAAAGGGGAATTTTAATACCATAAACCTAAGCAGGACATAATTTCAGAATAAAAGACAGGCCTTTAAATCAAACACATTTAACTTGGTGAAAAATTTACTACATTGTTTACTACGTTATTGTCACATTTTTGTCACAGGCTGCCGAAAAATTCGGCACCAGACCAGACAGGTGCCAGAACTGACCAGGTTCTGGTCGGACCAGAACTGACAGGTCTACAGATGGATGTTTGAGAACCAGGGAACTAGGCGTTATCAGCCCCCGTTACCAGAATGGGAGACGGAGTGGGAGGTTAAGTAAGTCTCCCAAGAGGGGGGTCAGCCAGTCAGGGCAGAGCTGGGATGTGAGCCCTGGTCTTCAACTTCAAGCCCAGGGTGATTTCCAGGATAGCATTGCCTTCTCCTGCCTTTTAAGAGGCAGAACAACACATACACATTCGTGTTAACAAGTTCCACAAAAAGGATTAGAGGCCACTTACCACTCTGGTGGGTAAGGGAGTGTAAATGCGCCTCCGTGTTTCTAGAGCAGCCCCTTTAACCTCCAGCTCTTGTAGGGACCACGGAACCTGCTCCCAGGAAGAGTTTAATGGTCCTTAGCAAACCCATCCCTGTGTTCTAGTAAATGCTCCAACATCAAGAATGTTGAGCATGAAGCCTCTCCTACACCCACAGCGCTCAACAATTATTACTATTACTCCTATCGCAGAGTTTAGGTGAAAAATTACAGAAATCTTTCATAAACCTCAAATACTTGGTTTGGGTCCTCAGGATAACTGGGGACATGTTAATTCATTCTGAAAAATGAAAGGCCTTAAAAAGTCAAGTTGTAGTTAGAATTTGGACATCTCTGCCACCACCCCACCCTTGTGACCCCAATTCCTACATTTCTTTCCCTTCCAAACCTCTGCCAACTCTTAGGGTGATTCCAAGAAGGTTTTCGGAACTGGACTCTAAGTCCAGACATCCCAGTCCAAGATCGAACTTTAGTGGCAACCCTTTTCCTTGTGGAGAATTCCAGATATAGCCCTTAGATTAGGCTGGA